GTCTGTTCCATTCGTTGGAACTCTAGAATCAGACGACGATGTAGACCAGTTAGATAATGAACCTGATAGCGACGAACAACTAAAGAAGGTATGTCGCCACTACATTTATACATATTCGCCTTTTATGCCCGTTTCTAAAAGATTTCTTTTTGGTCTGTAGCCTGTCAAGAGAGCGAAAACCAAGAAGAGCTCAGGCGGATCGCAGTTTGAGGACGACTTTCAGTTGTTCTCAGGAGAATTGGAGGATAGTTTTCAAAATCCATGGAATCTCGACGTTGCTATTAAGTTTGCAAAGCGAAAACAAGAGTCGGTAAGTTGATAGATGTAGCTGGGAAGAGCTACAAGTTATTCAAGTTTGCCTTCCTGTTCAATCGCGTTTTAATTTTTGCATCATGTTTACAAAATTAATGGCCACGTGCTTCTGCATAAGCCGCTATGTGCGAATTACTCTTTTTAATCAACTGTTTAATGAAGGTTAATGCATTTATTTTCAGAATCTTAATTCATCAAGTCTTCAGGATAAAATAGTAAAGAGAAGAGAAACAAGGCGGAAGGTATTCCTTTAGTAAATATATGCTGAAAATTCCATAAGACTCAGAGAGGTTTAATAAAATACTTATTAATGTGGAAATTCGCAGTAATAAGCATAATGATTTATATTGCACCCATTATAGGATAGCAGTTTTCATTTAAAATTTAGTTTGGACAAACAAGTAATTATATTTGATTTCAAACAAAACTACAGAATATAAGTTTCAAGCAGTACCTACAGTGGTGTATTTGATTTTGTTTATAATAAATACTAAATCTAACATGTATATGTAGCCAGTGGTTTAGCCTGAGTATCAGGCTTTTCTTATTTGCAGGGTAGGCGGAGAAAACACCTGGCAAAGAAAAGCCTGACACAAGGGTCTTTATTGTAGTCTTCCACCTCTTCAAAGCATGACAAGCGTCAGTGTACGTATTAACCAATCAGAATCATTTCTGGCTGTCATGTTTACAATTTACATGCATCACAGATCAGAACGGCAAGAATTCAAGCAAATACATGTAATCTAGTTTTGTTCATGTTTGTAATGGTTTCTGAGAATATTTGCACAATTTGCCTCAAAAATTTTCACACAGAGTATGGAAAGGGTGTTGCCACAGTATCGCTGTTTTCTGAAACTTCGAACAAAGAATGTTCTAATGTTTTGTGTGAAAAACCTGTTAGTCTCATGGAATTATTTCTCGAGTTGAGAATTGTTGTCATTCAAGATGGTGAAGACGGCAAAAGGTCTGTTTGCAAAAAATGCGCTAAGAAAATAGTGAATTGCTACAGAATGTTCATGGAGTTACAGGAGGCATATGCAGGTGGGAGGACACTCAACGAGGTGAAGGAAAGCACTCCATGAACTCCTTCAAGTTCCAGTCCTAGGGGTTCAATTCCTGTTCGAGGCCAGCAATCCCTTACTGAAGTGACTCCAAAGGCAAAGCAGCAAAAGAAAAGCACTTGTGAAAATGAAGTTGAAGGAGCTCAGCGAAGACCTTCAACAAAGAGAGCTCTG